TAATGCAGTCCCTTTATTATACGGAAATAGTAATACAGGGTGATTGAAAAGTAACCTCCTACTTTATGTATTATGGACTCTCCCGTATGAAAAAAATTACAGTTAAACGGGAAAGACCATCATACATAAAATAGGGAGTTATATTTCAATCATTTCGTATATAGACTGCATATAATATATGTACTTCGCCAGCACTACGTTAACCAGATATTTTTTAAAATTTAAATTATGTTATGGTTAATCTCTATCCAGCACCTGAAGATTACGTTATGCATGAAACTTCTAGTCGTGGTACTGTGATGTGATGTATATATATATATATATATATATATATATATATATATATATATATATATATATATATATATATATGGTATTGCATATTGAGAGCTTGTGCTAATAAAATAGTGCTCGATGTATATTAACAGAAATATAATCTATATTAATAATAAATATTCACTTTTTTACTCACCGGTGGCACAACTCTGAGTTTGAGGTACTGACTGAATATATATATATATATATATATATATATATATATATATTATTTATATAAAGACTAGGCCCAACCTAAAGTGTTACTGATTGTGGTTGTTGCACCTAAGAGTAGAGTGTAAGAAATGCAGTTGAAGAGATGGCGGTTAATATAGAAGATATTATTTATATATATATATATATATATATATATATATATATATATATATATATATATATATATATATATATATATATATATATATATATATAAAGTCATCCTTCTCTACTCTTCTAATTGGTTTTCTATTTGAATTACCAGCTCTCAGAGATTTTACATATCTGTTTCCTCCTTTGTCTTATCGACTAACTTCATATTTCAGTTTTACACACTGTTTCTGTTCTTTCCTTTTATTCAGCTTTATCTTTCTGTCCGATTTTCTATTTCTGTTTTACATCCTATTTCCGATTTTCCTCTCCGCTTTTCCTGCATTCATATTACTTGAGGTTTCTGTCGTACTTCCTTGCTTTTTCATTATATCTTCTTTTTTTCTTTATTACACATCTTCCCAACTCATTTCTGTCTCCTTTTCTTTTCTATTCTCTTGTCCTTCATTTCTATTTGTGCGTATCTTCTTTTAAACTTGTATTTTATTCCTTCCCTCCTTTCTATCAATGTTATTCCCTTCTTCAATAGCAGGCTTCCTTCTTTTTTTCATTGTTATTAAAAAAAAACTCTATTTTCCGAATCACATATAATAAAAACTGTCATTATATTTACCTTCTTCAATTCGTTCATTTGCTTATTCTCCTATTTGTATTTCGATTTTAAAAAAAGACAAACATCTTTTTATACGTCTTATATCTATAATATCTAATTTTTTTCTAAATTCATATCATACATCATTAGTTTGATTTTCAGTACATGACTAGATTTCCATTTTCGCCCGATATATCTTAGTGGAAATCAAATGATAATATATCCAATAAAACGCAATCAAATCAAATTGGATCCAATTTGAAAGTCAAATCACATTCTATGAAAATCTTCAGTCAAAAAACGTTGATCTGATCGATATTCTCAGATTTCTTTTACATCATGGAGAAGCAGGATTACTAGTTTTTAAAATCTTTAATATTTTGATGGAAATTCTTTTCAAAATATTTCTACAGCAATTTAGTCTTAATTATGAATTTTTCTCGAAAGATTCTGTAGAGTAGATCAGACGGTCTCATTATTAAAAAGGGACACCTAAAAGGATATCACCGCTTCCAACCAGAAGCACCGTTTATAATGTGAATATTATGAAAGAGAACGATTGAAGCACTGAGATAGTTGTATATTTTCTTTCTTCTGATCGACGTTTACGAATAAAATGTATTTGTAACCAGATTGAGTTTCATTGATATAATTTTGAAGACTCAAACAAGCATGAAAGATTGCGTTTTATCTCCTAACATTTGATTTATTTGCAGACCAAATGTGAACATTTATCTTAAGAAACAGGATATGGAAAGGTAAAGAATAATTGCTGTAGGACTAACACAAAGACGTGGCATTTTCATGTTTTTATTTATTTATTTAAATCAATTCGTCAAAAGCAAGGTCGCTAAAACGCAGGAGATTACTGCTAGTGAAAGAACCGGAAACCCAATCCTAAACATGAAACGGGGAAGGAGTGTTAACCGGGTGACAGGCAAACCTGTCTACACCTATTATAATTATAGTTTCGATATATGGAAATAGAAAGCATCAATTTAAACTGATGAAGAAGGTTATGGATTATAATTGAAATTGTCAGGACAGAATAAAGCTTGCAGTGCTTAAAGAAACCCCAGTTGAATTTCAGAAACATTTGGAAACTAATTCAACATTAATCCCGTGGGAACTGAATATTTTACTGGCGATGTGCGTGAAGTATAGCAATTCTCGCTGGGGAACATTCAATTTCCAGCCGAATCCGTTGTGTTCAATTTCGCAAAAATATCTTTGGAAATAAAATGAACCATGAATTAGTTACGGATAAATAACAAAGCAGCCTGGGATGTTCAATCTCGGCTTGGCAAACAGTCTAGAAGTTTTTCTTGATAACTTCATCCCGTAAGATCTAGTTGTTATTGAGACTCTATCAGTACCATTTAGCGTTGTTAGTCTATGGCCTTTATACTCTGCAAGGGAGTAACAAGTTCAAACTATCGCCGGATCAACTCGTAATAAATGCCGGTTCCTCATACATCAAAAGACTATATGAGGCTTCAGTAGTGACTTTTTTCATTTTTATTATTATTACGTTATTTTTACTTATTAAATTATCAATTTTAATCAGGCATCAAAAGTAAGGAAGCAATAAAATGAATTATCCAATTAGTTTTAGTTTAGTTTTCCTTATCAATTACAACAGATGTATAATTTTCATTAATACATTTTGTAGCTGTTAAAAACTGTTACACTCTCTGTAGAGCATGCACCTTTCCCCACACCTTACATCCCGCTTTGGTTGTTGCTGTGGTTTTCATAGCAAGTGTGTTTTATGGGTTTAGCCAATCACACACCACTTCGCACCATAATCTCGATTAAGGCTCTCCACCATTTCGTATCCTTTGTAGCCATTAATAACGTTTATCATTTTAATATAATTTCGCTAGAAACAAGGAAAAGTCTACTGAACTACTATGTGATATCTGTCTTCCTGTATGGCAGTGAGTAATGGACGATCTCCTCAAAAATGAAGAGGAGACATGAAACAATAGAAATGTCGTTGTACAATAAAATGCTGAGGATACCGTGGACCGAACAGATGAACAACGATTTATCCTTTCCATAGATTAGTTTACTAATCAAAACCAAAAAGCTTCGCATGCCGTACCTGGTGTCTGCGGTGAAAAGATATGCATTCCCCATGGTATTTGCGTGAAAGGGGACACAATGAACTCGACCGAAATTTGAACTCTGTTCGTCGATAACCATTATACCACTCTTTTGTCGATTCCGGTTGTCGATATTTTTTAACCTTGGAGAATAAATTGTGAAGTCATCATCTTAGTAATAGCCGCAGTAATATTATTAACAGCAGGAGGTGGAGGAGTGACCTTTTGTAAGACCTTTTATAATTGTATTATAAATAGGGTACGGCAATATACAATTGGACATTTAAAAACAAAACGTTTTCCCTGCTTCTTATTATTTATTCACTTTTGTTTTTTTCTCACACCGAGAATCGCTTTCCCAACCGACCTTAGCATTTTCTAAAGTAATCGACTTAATTAGTTAATACGATTAATTTGAAATTCGCACTTACATATCAGATTTCAACTCTTCGATCAATATTTATTGCTTTCGAATATTTTAATTACTTTATGTCTTTTATCGTAATTCAGTAAAATCATTTTGATTCCGAGCAAAGAAGCCGTATTTCGCTGATTTATCTCAGACACTTTAACAGCACAATCTCTGAACTCAAAATGCTACTTTAGTGTACCAAATACAAGTGCCACCTGGAACAGAGAAGCCGCTTGGAATTGTTCAATTCAATATTTATAAAATTTACACGAATTTTTATTGCTCTTTCCAGTATTGATGAAAGAGCTTCCTTTCTAACCATTTGTTCAAAGTCGTGCGAAATGTCAGCATCTTGATTATATCATTATTTCATTTTAATTGTTGCTGCTGTTGAAAGTAATATGGTTCCTGTTATTTGGTACATGGCCTTTTGGATTCTGTAGCCCCATTCAGGAGGCACGGTGGAGTAATGGATAGCGGCTCGAATTGAGGAATCGGAGAGCCGAGCTCGAATTCATTACATTAATACTCTTGGGAATGGTATGAATCCTCTTCGTCTTCCCCAGCTATGGGAAAATAGCAGGATAGACTGGGTTCTATAGCCTTGGATGGCAACTACCGCGGAAAAATATGCTTCGTCATTTATCGAAATGATCACCTAAGCGTGTATCATGCATGACACATAACCGACTGTGTCCCAGGCTACACGGTTTGATAATGACACACACGGTATTCATAAAATGACATACATACACATAAAAACTCTTGATCATTATTATGATTTAAATTCAGTGACGGCCCAAAAACTTAATAATGAAGCAGCAAAGGTCAGAGATCAGAAAGTTGCGCACACTCAGATTTTCTAGATGGTAAGAAACTTTAATCTGACAATGCTTTAAAAATGCAGTTGAGGAGTGACAGGTGATGTTGGGTGGTAATTAAATATTCCAAAATAAAATATATGAAAAAGCTGAAATAAAATAAAATAAAAATTCTACGGCTTATCATTTTTTTTCAGATTATTTAAAGCTAGAATATATATTTTTTAAGATTTTAAGAAATTTTTAAGATAGATAATAATGGTTTAGTGATATGTCTTACTAATTAACCCATAGCTGGGGGATGTGAAGTCATACATTTGTCAAGAGTATTTACTCAGTATATAACAAACCTAACTGGAATTGGAACTTGGCTCTCTGATTAACAATTCCGAGTCATTATCCATTACAGTATTCACAAACCCAAGCTTACAGCACCTGGTATTCCCAAGCGGTCACCCGTCTAGGTACTGACCCGACTCGACGTTGTTTAACTTCGGTGATCATACGGCAAGCGGTTTTTCAACGTGATGATATAACATGGTATAATTATCGGAATTGTTAATCGGAGAGCCGAGTTCCAAATCCTGTTGAGATTGTTATATCTACTTACGCGAAAATACCTTTTGGAAAGTTATGAATCCACCTCTTCTTATCCAGCTATGGGTTAATTAGTAAGACTTATATCACTAAACCTTTATTTTCTCTCTCGACCCAATATTCTTACAATCTAAATATATTTTCTAGCTTTAAATAAGCTGCAATGGGTTGATAAGCCGTAGAAAACGAATCAATTAATGAAAAAATAATGTTTTCGTCGTACCAAATAAGAACGCTTATGTAGATGGGGAACTGAAAGAGTTTGTAAAATCTTGGCGGGACTAGATTTGCATATATTGAAATTATATAAGTGTACTGGAATTTTCTCGGCACATTAAGTTCCTAAATATGACCAAACACCAGTTTTACCTTTAATCCCAAACCAGGAGCTTTTCAGCACAATTGGATTTTTATTGATGATTATTGTTTTCGTTTTTCGCATGGTTCCAAGCAAATGATTGGTTGGGATCTTGAATTTAACTGTTAGAGGCACTCCGAAGCTTGATCTCGTTAACTCAATTACGACGGAGTAGTGAGTTCAATCCTCATCTAGTGATCCACATTTTCGTCATTGTAAGCTAAATATAGAAAAATCTTAGAGCACCTCAACGTTGTGGAATTGGTTAGCAAGCTTGTCTCACTAGAAAAATTACGGCTGAGTAGTGCGATCTTTACTGGGTGCTCCACATTTTCGGCCTTGTACCACATCTAAGCTACGGGCACCTTGACGTTGTGTAATGATTAGCAAGCTTGTCTCGCTAGAAAAATTATGACTGAGTAATGCAATACTCACCGGGAGCGCCACATTTTAGGCCTTGTGCCACATCTAAGCTACGCTTAAGAAAACCTTAGGACACCTCGACGTTGTGTAAAGGTTATCAATCTTTTCTTACTAGAAAAATTCCGACTGAGTAGTGTGATCATCACTAATTGCCCCATATTTTCGGCCTTGTGCCGCAATTTAAACTACCCTCACAAAATTAGCTTGAGTTAACTCTTAGTTTTGCTTAATATTTAGGAAGTAATCTGTCGTACCAAATGAAAATGCTGTCTGGAATACTGATGCCTGTGGAGATTTTTCACCTCAGGAAATAAAACTATAAGTTTCATAAATGTTGAACAAGATAATGGTACCGCTGAGAAAATTATTTGGAAAACGATAAGCATGCCTTGCCAAATAAACACCATGTCGGAGAAAGAGATAATTTAATCGCCTCGAATTTGTATTTGGCACATCGGGGTACCATTCTAGGCCTTTCATAACATTCCTCAAACTAATAGAGAGGTACTTGGAAGTTCTCAACAACACCGTAAATTGCTACAAAACTAAACCGTTAACCTAAAAACTCATCATGATTAGTTAGATCGTAACATTGATATGGATGTCATGCAGGCCTTAACAAGAATTCAGACCTGTACCCAATAAAAGTAACTACATAACTTGAAGACTTTCGGAGCAGTAACTCGTAGTGAAAATAATGGCATAATCAAAATTTTACACTCCACATTCTTTAAGACAAAACTTTAGGAAGGAAATCACCACGAATATTAGAAGGAGCTATAACAGTGTATTTGAGAGTCTTATTTTACTGAAAAAAAAGATGTTTTAATAGAAAGATTTTACAAATTTCAGCCAACAGTTCAACTGGGTACTTGATCAATGAATTCCGATTATTTCCGTATAAGGAAAGAGTTAATGTTACTATCAGCATCTCTCCAGTTAACATTCCAGTAAAGAACACCAGGCCAAGCGCCTGGTCACTTAAAAAATAACTAGCAGTATAACCCGTCTTCGACCGGATGTTTCATTACTGGGAATTTTTGCCGTTCAGTTGGAGCAGTTTATGTTTAAAATCAGCTTACCCGAAAATCAATATTAGTAACAACATTTGGGTGCAACTGCGGCACATCCCCAAATTTGAATGGAAGGAGGAAGCAACCTCTCTCATGGTCCGTCATAATAATATTATACGATAATTTTTATTTATAATAGAATTTTTTTTTTATAATTCTAATAATCTTTTGTGTTAGATTTCAACAATCTCAATTGATTTTCCGCTGTTTTTACAGACATTAAATTTTGCCATTGAATTTTTTTCGAGTTTTCGCCTTCAAGATTGTAATTTTTTCCAGCCAATTTGGACTCAAAATCGACATTGAAGAATTAACTGTCATTAAAAAAACAATTCATCAAAATCTGATGAAAACTGTGGAAACGCATAAATAACATCCGATCACACACACATACATACATACACATTTTGAGAATTATAGATAATAGATATGCAAATAAGAAACGAATGGCACTTCTTTCTTTCTACCTACTTACCTACCTACCTACCTACATATCTAACTACTTACCTACCTACCTGTACCGTCTAGCACCGTCATCACCTTCTATATGTCATGTCCTTCCAGGACATGGTCGATTATGGCTCTCTAACATTTCGTACACTTTGAAGTTATTAATAACGTTTATCATTTTAATATAATTTCGCTAGAAACAAGGAAAAGTCTACTGAACTACTATGTGATATCTGTCTTCCTGTATGGCAGTGAGTAATGGACGATCTCCTCAAAAATGAAGAGGAGACATGAAACAATAGAAATGTCGTTGTACAATAAAATGCTGAGGATACCGTGGACCGAACAGATGAACAACGACGAGGTTTTAAAGAAAATGCAAACAAAACGGAAACTAATATTTAACATCAGAAAGAGACAGTTGAGATTTATGAGGCATATAATGAGGAAGGAATGCTTGGAAAATCTGAAACTCACGGGAAAGATAGAGGGTAAGAGGAAAACAACACATAATGAAGAAGACCATTCCCGTCATACATTCACATTCTCCCCCTGTCCCCTTTAATTTGGATAGTGTCAAATTTCTCCAACCCCCCTCCTTACGTGTCCAAGAATTGTAGCCGCCTCTTTCTAAGTGTCCCTTTTCTTTCCATTTTCCTTAAGATTTACTCGTTATCATAGTCATAAGTAATACAGTTTGATCAATAGACTGATTGATTGGTCTGTTTTTTATGACTTATAAACATCTTTTGGATTATTTAAAACTGTAAAATACGTTGGATTTTTTTTTTAAGCATTTCACCCCAAGCAAGGCGGGAAGCCACTAGGACGCAAGGTGTTACAGAAAATTTAGAGCAAGATCAGATAGGAGTGATAGAAGAAAGGATGAGGAGAAGGGTAGTGGATAGATCAAGGCAACTGGAGATGTCGATTGACATTACACTTGAATAGCTGGAGATTATAGCTCACAGGGAAACAAGAAAGGGAAGGGAGTTCCACAGGCGAGAGGTGCGAGACATGAAGCTATTAGAGTAGAAGAGACGGCTACATTTAGGAGTTTCGACAGTGAAGGGGTGAGAGCGGGATGCCAGCCTCGTAAGGCGCTGGAACTCATGACGTCTGGGAACCAGCGAATGCAGCTCCTCCGAGCAATTTCCATGAAAGTATTTGTAGAACAGACAGAGGGGGGGGCGACGGTGCGTCTGTGAGAAAGTGACTGTAGACGAGACGCCAGAGCAGGGCCAACCACATTGCATATCCGCCTCTGGAGCCTATCAAGAACCCCGAGGCAAACAAGACCATATATGGCAGCAATACTCCATGCAAGGGCGAATTGTGGATTTGTAGATCTGGAGGACCGACTCCAGGCAGAAAAACTTCCTAGCGCGGCACAGGGCTGACTATTGTTATCATCTTCTTTGTTATCTCAACGTTTCAGCCATTGTTCCCTCCGGCCTTCCTCAGGTGTATATTGATCTTGGTAACCTAAAGGGAATTCTGGATTTTTTTTAATCATTTTTTTATACTAATGATCTGGCGTGCTTAATTAATAATTGCTTTCTTCTATATGCCATGTCACTTCAGGATGTGGGAAACAAATCCACAACCTCGTAACCCTTGTACGTTTACCAACGTTTGTCCCTTTGCCAAGACTCTCACCTTCTCTATATTTATCCATCCATTTACACAAGCTCATCAGGTAGGTGGTCTGTTGCCTTCACCTGTCCGTTTTTCCTTTGATGTGGACAGTGAATTTAATTATTTAATCATACTGGCACTTGTATTTAGTACATAACAGATTACAATCTTAACCATTTTAAGTCTAGCGCCAACCGTTTTCTACTCTGTATACTCTCATAATATACAATCCTTATGTCCATAAAAAATATCTATTCAATAATCCTCTACCTTCAATGACTCTTGAGCCTTTTTTGGATAGAGAATAGTGTAAAAATAGTCAGTGAAATGCCTACGTTTCGCCGTATCTATATCTGGTAAAATATGTTTCTCCTCTATGCTTCTGACTGCTGAATAATTTGTTTTCGAAAAACGAACAAATGAATATTTTAATAAACTAAATTTCATTGAATTAATACTGTGAAGAACCAGGAGCCATAATGATAAATTTCCTCCTGCGGGTGATTACGATTACAAATCTCTCGTAGAGACAGCTGTTTCATGCTGTTCGACAAAGAGGCTACCATCGAACATATTAGTATCGCTTAGGGACAAAATAACACCGGACGTTTCTTCCAGGACAAGAACAAATTATCTGTCAACCAAGCAATGCTATTTCACTAGTTTACGCTCTTCATCCTGACATTTCTGATTATTAGCTTATAAAAGATTATTAGCATTCATCTAAAAGACTAACAGGATATTTTAAACTGTCAACATTTCTGAGATGAGGTATTTAAATTATTTACGTATTTATTTAGTTATCGGAATGTTGTACTCATCATTGTAGCTATATTCCCGACGTTTCGGCCTTCTTCAGGTGATCGGAATTTTGAACTAGATTTTTTTAGTTCCACGTGCTATGCCTCTTCCGGATGTCAAGTTTTAGCCTGGTATTGAACTCATAACTCATTTGTTCCTAACCAGCAGTAGCTTGGTATTGAAC